CAAACCCCCAGTCCCTCCCTGCACCACCCAACGACACACAGCCACACGTCCCTGCTGTTCATGAATAATCCAGGCAACCTGACAGGCTATAGCGTTCAGTGTTGTGGGGGAAGAAGCTAGAACAAAAGACAGCTAGCTCCCAGAGTAGCTAGGGCTTAGTAGGCTCAGAGGAGAAGACATTTAGTAACTAGTGTCAGTACAGACAAGAGCAGGAGGCAAAGACTTCAGTAAAATCACATATTTAAGCGGCTGCTGCCATGTCAGTACTGCCATGCCAAATACCAGAGCCTTCCCCCCCAGCTTTCAATCTGCAGAGCAAAGAATGAACGATTGAGAGAAACTTTCCTCTCATCTTCCCTTTGCAGATGTTTGGCTTGCTCTCTGCAAAGTGCAGAACTGGCCAAAAGAAGCATTAATCAAAAATCTTATTTTTACCCCCACATTTCTCCAAACCCAGGGCAAAGAACTCTTTAACCTCTTCAGAAATGAACAGTTAAAACTTAGTGGAAGAGTTATAAATGAAGTATCGCAAAGACGCCACAGATTGTGGCCTTTGTCCCTGTTCAACTGCTGAGCCCCCTGCCAGGATTTTTCTCTTCCAGTCCAGTTCACAGCTTAAAACAGCTCGAAAGTATTTGACATCTCCAAACACATAGGTCCTGGATTAACAGATGTGGCTGTGCTGCAGCCCCAGAGTTGGTTATTGTGTTAGTCTGTACGCTCCTTAGAAGAGAGGGGCCAGACTCAGGATGGCCATTTGGTAAACTGAATATAACTGTCCTACAGAAACACTCAACTCATTTTGTGACGATGAAGAGCAGATTGGCACACAGCTCTAACTGTGTCTTTAATATGAAGTGTCTGAATTTCATTAAACTGACACAAGTTAATGGTGTAGCCTAATACCCGATTAAGCTTCTCTGATTAATTAATCCACAGATTAAATGGTTTAACAAACATAATTAGAATACAGTAATGCATAAGTAATTTAATGAATTCTTTCTATGGTTCTAAACTGGACAAATAACCCAGTTTTTAATAGCTTTTTTTAAGCTGGATTTGCACATTTTAATAAGTTTTAAAAAAAAAAGAGAAAAACACAATTCAAAACAAATGTCTCTAAGAAGCAGGATGGAATGTGTTTCAATCAAACCGGGATATCCAACGACAGTCATGATGGTTTATACCCTAAGTCAGAAATATATCATGTAACCAAAGCTTCCATCTGAGACGTGTTTGTACATGACTCATGTACCCTCAGAGTGCAGAAGCTCCATTATTCAGTGGGCTTTTATATATGTCTGTGTTATTAAGTGTGTTTAAAGCTTTGTTCATCAGCTTGAAAACAAGCCATGTGTGCTTTTTTTTAATCCTTTTGGATTGTGTGGTCATTTTGAGTTTTCCTCTCGTCTTGCTTGTTCATCGATGATCCAATGTGTTGATTCCACAAAGTCTGACTGATAATGTCCTCCTTGTTGACATTCAACTTCAGCTGTTAGCTAGTTGTTTGACCTCAGCCCCGCATGTGACCTGTGAGAGTTTGGTGCTTCGTCTCCCTGAAAAAAAAACAAAAGACCAATGCACACACATACACACACACTGAGGCCAAAGCTCCATATGGTGGTGCTCATGACTCAGCGTCTCTATGTAAATCTACACCTACTACTCAACTGACAGTATGCGTTGATAAGAAACCTGTTTGCACACGATGTGTCATTGATTAAATACATTAAGAGTCAGACATGATCCCATCAGGGTGGGGGGGTGGGATGATTAAACGTAATTAATGTATTCTGCTGTGCTGATTGTTGTAAATAGTAAGGCTTTTGTTGTTGTCATTGCTGTTCAGTTGCTTAGGAAGTTTCACCAGCTGCTGGAATTAATATCAAACTGTCTTATCAGGTAATATAATCAACATTATTTTATGTCCTGATAGTACACTCGTGAAATGTAGGCATTCATTTTAACTCTTCAAATCCTAATGTCAAAAGGAGAAGCCTGTACCTGGTTCTAAAGATGTAGTTTTCTGCAATGTAAAGTCGTACATTTTGCTATATTTAGGGGGAAAATAGCTTTTTTTTAAATTCATAGTCAGCATAGATGGATTGAATATGAAAATGTTCCAAACACCATCTAAACTAATTTGTTTTAATTCAGTTTATTTATACTGCAGAAAGTAACAAAGTAAGACAGCTGCTAGTAATGTTGGGAAAGTAAACAAGTTCAGCTCAAGTCCAATTTATTCTTATAATAATTCAATTTAATTCCATTTCTGTATCATTATATTCTGACAAATATTAGGTTATCTAAGGAATCCAACACACATCAAATCTTGAGTTTGATTCAGTGTCTGCTTTTGATTGGGTTTAAAAGACTAACCAGCAATCAGGTTTCTACAGCCATTCCTAAAACTACTGTCTTTACACCATTACAGAGGTGGAAAGAGAGGAATCTCTCTGTAGAAACAACAGTGTTTATGAACACACTCATAAAGTAGCTTAAACGTCTGAGTATCAAATAGATATATTGCAAAGCTGAACTTTGAGCCTTTGTCAGTCTACAACAGTGCTGTAAAAGCATCAGAGCTTGTTTTTGTTCACATCAATCAATAAATCATGCACAAGTTCTGCCTCTGCAGCAGACTTAAATATACAGACTTACACAAAATGCTGTCCACCCTAACTGCGTCTACCTATTTCAATATAAGTTAAACTCTTTTTATGGACAGGAACCCTTCTCAGAAGTCTATTTCAAAGTAAACAGTTCTGCATTGGCCAACCCAGGCGCCAACTTCCTCCATCTGATTTCCTTCTTCTCCATAAGAGCAGCACATCAGAGACACCAGTATCTTCCACTGTCTCAAATCAAGGAAGTTATTGAGGACTAGTTTTCCATTTTCAAAAGTTCGATCATCAATAACCTGCTGACTTTTCTCCCAAAAAGTTGTCTTTTCTTGCATTGAGACTGAGTAACTTATGTGAATCAAAGGTTATCTGTTATCAACTTTAAGACAGGTTGGCCTTCTGGTGTCTGCAGTAACCAAAAAATGAAATATAATCAGTCAAGTATTGAACTTCAGAGAATTTCACTTCATATAGAAGGAACTTTTTCCTTCATTACTAGACTAAACTAACTGTCTTTGCTCCACAAATCCAACCATTTTTCTGTGGTTCAGATATAATCTGATCCCTTTAGGACCACAGTTGGGATCCTGAGACTAGCCAAAGTGTCTCCACTTGTTGAGCCAGGAGCTGGTAACTAAAGGGTTAAATGACATATGGTTATGAGGGAAGCTGTGAATAACGCGGGGGTGACCTCTGAACAGTCTGACCTGAGTGACATTGATTAGAATTAGAATGTAAAGTGTGCACAGCGGCATGGATAGGGGTGACAGGCAGATCTAATGCATGGCTGGAGGGAGGCTCGTACTGCTGCCCTCGCCTGAAAAAGGCGGCGTGGTGGGACTATTGCAATGCTAAGTGTGTAACTTCTGCACCCTCGTCTCATCCCAACCCTTTTGTTTGGCCTTACTCTCGTTTTAAAAAACTAATTGGAAGCCTTTCAAGCCAGTTTTCGCTCTCATCTCGCCGTTATGTTTGTGGCAGCTTCACTGTTTTAAAGTAATGGACCCCGGGGACGTGGCTCGCCTGTTGTCCCCGCTCACTTTGATGCTCGTTCAGTTGATTCTTTTTAATTAGCGTAAAATCCACGGCAGACATATGCGGGACTCTGCTTCCCCACATCATGTTAACATTCAGACGGAAATAGGTCAAAATTAACGGTCAGCTGTGTCTCAAGTGTCTGGGCCTCGTCGGATGCTCTGCGTTTTGTGTTGACACGGGCGGACTTGTGCACATGAGGGGGAAGGCTGGGGGTAGGGTGAATGGCATGCGTTGGGCTGGAGAGGAGGAGGAGGGGTGTAGGGAAAAGGAGCCGCTTATTGGCTCTGCGCTGCAGGGAAAGAAAAAAAAAACGCTTATGGCTTTGCTGCATGACTGGGCATTTGTGACAGCTAAAGTCGGGCCTGCCACATCTGCCAGGGGCACAGTGCTCTCAGCCAATCAGCTCATAATCAATCACATACAGGCGATGGCTAATGAGGCACCCATGTTCATCTGACTGTTTGATTTTCTTGAGATTGATTAAAACCACCGCATGCTTTGACCTTAGGTTTTTTTTTTTTTACCATAATGTCTGGCACAGAGATATTAGCTGAAAAAAAAAGAAGAAAGAAATATTATTAGCTTCGTTTAAATCTAGGACACTATTGACAAAAGTACTGAACTGTTGATTTTCAGACCGAGAAACAGCCGCAGGCAGTGTATAACAGAGCCACTACCCAGAGTGCTTTAAAGGACATATTACCTGTAGGTTAATGACTTTCTATGTTGAACTGTCCTTTTAGTGGAAGTGGGTTTTTGGGTCATTTTATGTAACAGCTTTTTAACGGATAGACAGGCTTAACCCTGCCGCCTTGTTTGTTCTGAGAGCAGTGGACAGTCTGTAACTGAAGATGTTATCAGCCGAGGAAAAAAGCTCTTTCTATTGCCTTTGTTATGTTTTGCCCCTCACACAGGATCTTCTCATGGCTGGCGTCAGGTCATCGTCCCTGCCCTGGGTGGTGCCATGTAGCCTAAGAGACTGGCTCACGTTATTTAGGTCACATCTAATGCACAGAAATCTTTGAGGATCAAATGACTGGGCTCCAGTGTTCCGCGGAAAGAATTTGCTTTGTTTATTTACCTTTAGCAACAGTTTTTGAGGTTGCATAGAATTAGTTCAGCCTCCATTTGGGTGAGATAAGCACAATTATTACATAAGTCGCCACTCAAAATAGCAGTGCTCACAGATAGACTTGGGCATGTCAAAGAACACTGTAAACCTATTCAAGGTTAAAGATTACCTTGGCATGACTTGTGTTAACACAAATGAAGAACACCTCAGGGCTTGGTTTGACACATGGGAGTTTAACACTGTTTTTTCTCCACCTCTGTGTTTGTTTGGTGCAGTACATAAAGATCCCGGCGCCGACCCCTGAGTCTCCAGACGGATTCCGAGTCTTCTCATTCTACCTGTCCAGCGACAGCAAGGACAAGCCTCAGTCCAGCTTCGACTGCATTCACCAGTATGTCTCAGGGTAAGCCGCGCATATAACTCTTTCCAATGTCAACCACAAATGGAATTTGTTGGAAATTTAGTGTCAGGCTGAGACCACAGGTTCTTGCCAAACACTGGCCTCTCTCTTCAACATAAACAATAACAGACAGCAGCCCTGCCGGCCCACGCTCAGCTACAATAGTGTGGAAAGGTTGTCATGCCACCGTTCCCAAAACGTGTGACCAGCAATAATTGAGAACAGGAAGGTAGTGTTTGTGGCTGTGTGAGGTCAAAGGACTGGTTAGGAGGTTACATTAGAGCAGTTTATATGTGCCCAGAAGAAGCCACCACAACTTTGCATTCCTTGTTAAAGAGCTCTGCTCCACAACAGGAAGAGAAGCTAAATATGGTCACAGATCCTGTTGTGTGCGTCATGTAGGAGCACTGAATGTTGAGAAGGATTGCCATTACTGTTTATCGGAAGTTTTCCTCCTCTACACAGGGAGGGCAGGGATCACCTGGAGGGCCAGGGCAGCATTCAGGACAAGATCACAGTTTGTGCCACAGACGACTCCTATCAGACAACACGGGAACGCATGTCTCAGGTGGAGAAGGACATTTGGAGCCGCACAGCCATTGAGATCAAGCCAGGGCCAAGTAAGCTTTTGCCAGCTGGCATTTCCATGTTGTGTTGTATCCTCCAAACCCTGAGCACACCAAGTCTCAGTACAGTATTCTGAGTCTGAGTATTATATATTTTTTATTCTCAGAAAACATCTAAACCATTACTTCTCTCCATTTCATCCTGCTGATAATTACCATATGGAAAGGAAGTTATCACTTAATTGATCAAAGAACTCTGTGGCAATTACATGTGAAGACGCAGTGCAATTTTGCCTCGATTTTGACCAGATAGCTAAGGCACCGCGCCAGCTCGCCTGCCAGCATCATTAATGTGATGGAGTTTGCCAGAAGTCTGGCCAAACACACCTCCTGCTGATTGAGTTTTGACAAAATTTAATTTATTTCCATTTGACAAAATAGTGATACATATTCAGAACATACAATCTAAAAATGTCACATAGCCAAAAACGTTCTGCATCGAGTGCACAGGATCTCAATTTTTTACATTTAAATATTATAATTATTGATTTCTCTTTGCACAAGTCATGGTTTTGGCTTCAGTGCAGATAAAAATTACTATTCTGCAAATTCATAAATAATCCGTCCTCAAGGTCAATGACATTTTGAGATTCCATGTTCACTGTTAAGTGAAATATACCTGATAAATGTTGGAAAGATTTCCCATTTTTAGTCAAATATGCCTTCTCATGCACTTAACTGTCCTTGCCTTCTCTGGAGATAAAGGAATAAATAGGTTATGCGCCAACGTACAAGCCTATGTGTCAGAGAAAACACAGTTGTTTTGCTGTAACTTTCTGCCTTTTCAGGATACAGTAATGCTGTTCTCATCAGAAAAAAACAGCCTATATGCAAACTCACAATTATAGGTTGGACTAGAAAAATGTCTACAATTTAGATAATAACGGGTGATTGAGTGTTTATGCGCATTCAGTGGAAAGAAAAAACTGGACAGGAGAATTTCCATACACCTGGTGCTGGAACATCCCACAGACCTAAAAAGCATAAATCATTCTCCTATAATATCAACACATGTTTGCTTACAGATGCTGCCTTTAATGTTGGTTCGTTGTTCATAACTAAGCCCATTGCGCTGCAAAGCGTGACTTGTTTCTGTAAGTCGGACAAGCAAGTATTACAAAGGATTCCTTTAGACCCACAAACGTCCCCTGAAGCTGCTTTAGATTTTTTTACTCCCCAATAATGGCTCTAGTTGCGGCTTGTTTGAAATGTTGCAGCGCAGGTTATTTCAGTGCAGATTCGCATGAAATCTTTACAACCAGGTTCACAGTAGGCGGTAAAACTGTCCATGAGCACATTTGGAAACCGACATTACAGCAAACCATCACTACTTCATTAAGTGTAAACATCAACAAATTCATGTTAACAGTTCTCAGCAGGAGTGAGGGACCTCCCTGTGCTTGGAGCCTGGAGTTTCCTCACTCTTCTGTTTATTTAGTAAGGGGCTGTGCTGCTACCTCACTCTGTGTTCCATGCATGCAGCAACACTGCCCCTGCACACAGACAGTGAGCAGTGCATGAGCACCTTTTCTGACTCGACTTCCGTGTTGAGTCCTTTTCCGATGCCCTCACCTCATTCACGTGTGCGTAAAGCTGACTGCATAACAGCGAAGACTTAACATGAGACAATGTTTTGTGTCCCAGTGTCTTATGTTTCGGTCTGCCTTTTAAAATGGCTGTGTGATTTGTATATCCACCCTTAGGAATGGATTAGGGATGAAGTGTTGGCTGTGTGGTTGCGGGATTCTCTCAGCGCACGTGAATCCTGTTATCAGATCAGTTTGAGGCTCTTTGCTGTTTGGCTTTGTGCACCGAGTCACTCGCTGGCTTTTTCCAAAATAGCTTGAGATTACTGCTGTGATTACGTCCCGATTCAGATCAAAGTCGTTTCTTTTGCGACTACAAGCTGTAATGAGTTTGTTTTTTGTTTTTGATCTTAGGTAAGTGTGTTAAGGTTCAGAGGAAGCAAGGTCTGGCATCGGCCTCAGACGGCAGCAACAAGCACTCCCCCAGCAACAAGCGGAGCCTCCTCCCCAGCCTTGTGGTACACCGGCCATTGAGGGATCGAATCATTCATCTCCTGGCCCTAAAGCCCTACAGGAAACCCGAGGTGCTGTTGTGGCTGGAGAGGGAGCGGGCCAGTCCAAAGGACAAGGCCGATCTGACCTCAGTCCTGGATGAGGTGAGAAACTCTACACTGTTGGCAAACACACTGCAAACTTCTGATATAAATCCTGTGATGGAGCTAGCAGGATAATAAAGATGCAAATGTGTAAAAAAAAAAAAAAACATTTGTAAAAGTTTATTGAAGCACCAGATTCATATAAGAATAGAACCTGCATCTGAAAATAAAACAGTCACCAGCAAGCACATTACAAGCATAGTCCTGTTCAGCTGAAAGGCCTTATCTGAGATGGAGATGTCGGTTGGTTTATTTCAGGCAGGTTTCCTGTGTTCACAGAGTTTGAGTGTCCCACTGCAATCATAAAGCAGAGACTGCGCCGCTGCCGGCAGCTGTAATTAGGGCTGTGCTTTAATTATCCCTGGGTGAGAAGATTGTGTTTGGAGATCAGAGGGGTGGAGTGGCTCAAGCTAGGGTCTGCCTACTTCCATAAGTGAGAGTTGGTTTGGGTAGATTTGCATCAGAGGGATAAGTTTGTATCAAAGAATACAGGGGACTGCTCGCAAAGGAGTGCACCGACACTATTTCTGGAAAAAGCTCAAATTCCCGAACTGCTGGCCTCTGCTCATGTTCACAACACACTCTGATCAGTTTCCGTTGACTTTGTTAAATGTGGAATTGTGGATTTTTCAGGTCGGCAAACTGAATCCCAGAGACTTCAGTTATTCTCTGAAGGATGAGCTCTACAGACATGTCCAGAGGGACTGGCCTGGATATCTGGAGGAGGAGAAGCAACTCATCCATAGGCTCCTGATCAGGTGAGCATTGGGTTTACTGAAACAGAAAAAACTGAAAGTGAAATGAAACAGACAATGAAAAAGCGCGTTCTAGCAGACTGCACATAGTCATGAGAGTGGTAGTATTTGTTCAATAAAGCTTAGTTTGGAAGAAACTGTTATGACATTGCCCCAGGAAGAATCCTCATTGGGCAGGTAACACGGAGGAGGGATGACAGGGCCAATACAGAAAATACAAAGGACCAGCAAATGAACATGGAAGTCTGCTCGGATCATTTTTAAAAGGGAGCTTATAAATGACAACTCCCCTTTGATGAACCTCTTAACGGACACATCAAAGCAAAGGAAAATATTCCCTGCACTGTGCTGCCAAATGGCAACAGTTGGGCAGCATACCTGAGCTTTTCAGAATGATCTTCCCCTCCTTCGTCTGCCAATAACATGCAAGAACTTACCGGGGCCTGTCTTATGTTTTCATTTTGCCGGTCATATGATTGGAAGCGTGTAGGAATCTACTGCTGGGAATTACTTTTTTTAACGGCATGAGTTTGAGGAAATAGCTGTAGGAAGCAGATTACTGTAAAAGTGGGCGTGGTCCGACAGAGCTTAAATCAGCTGCCATTGTTCCTCCCCTTTAGATTGTGAGGACTTTTCCCCGACACTGACGGTTGTGTAACTTCTCTGACTATTTCTTCTGTGGAAGGGTGGCTCAGTATTAATTCTTCAGTTGCATTCTCATAACTCTGCCTAAGAAAGCTGCATTACACTGTTTGGCCTGACACCGTTCATTCCACTGTCACTGTCCAGCTGAAGGTGCTTTGTTTTCAATCTTTCCTCAGGAAACTTCAGCCTCTCAACAGTAGCCAGTTGAAGAGTCCCCAATCCAATCATTCATTCCACAAAACTCCTGGGGACTCGCCCTCACGACTCAGTCCTGCCAAGAATCTCTCAGTGGTAATTACTCTCACTTCATGATTTGTATTTCCCCCATTTCTTCTTTAATAGTGAAGCCGGTGTTTTCCCCCCCTTCAGCAAATCCACAGAACTTTCACAGTTTTGTTACGTCTTTGTGCAATTACATAAACAGCTTGAGACTAAATATAGCTCTTTCAGGAAATAAAAGAACAGTTTGAAACTTTTGTAAATGAAATATTTATGTGTCTTGCCAACAGAGAGATGCAAAGACTGACAATACTCTTGTGCCATGTACAATAAATATGCAGCTGGGTACTTTCAGGAAGTTATGAGATGGGCTATTCAGTGAAAAACTTGAATCAACTGACTACATCAGTTTCATGGTATTAGCAAGGAAATCATGGGAGACGCAATAACAAGCCTTACTCAATCTCACACATTGAGCAGTAAAACTGTCTTTATTTTGATTAAACCTACATCAATCAACATATGGAGCTGTCACTTTTAGATTTTCTTCAGCTATGTCACTTTACTACAGTTATAAACTGTAGTATTTTCCGGTTTCCACTATTTTCCTGAGCTGGCTGCCGTTAACAGTGATGCTTTATTTATGTAAAAACATGAAGTGAGCAGGAACTGCTTTTTACACCCCTTGTGAAAAAGTGGATGTTATACAGCAAAAGACCAGCTCTGCACATCCACTGTTCACATCAGTTTGACTGTCTTGTGTTCTTTTCTTTCTCCTAGAAACGTCCACTGGCCTTGGACCCATCCAATATCCAAACTCCAAAAAAACAAAAGCTTTCAGACCAGTGTCTGCCCCTGCAGTCTCCCTCCAATACAGACTCTGCCAGCAATGGAGCTCACGGCTCCTCCAGTCATGGAAGCTCTAGCGTACCGATTAAAACCGAGATCCACAAAACCAACAATCGCCTTCAAGGGAGCCCCAATCATCTTTACTCGCCACGCAAAATCAGTGTGCCAACTGCTGTTTCCCAACTGGAAAGGAAGGACCCCGCTCTGACCGCACGCAGCCCCAAACAGCCCCACAGTGACTCCTCCATATGCACGGAGCAGCAGGTCACTAACGGCCAGCACAAGAAGAAAAGGTCCAAAAAACATAAAGAGAAGGAGCGAGAGCGCTTAAAACCGGAATGGATAGAGACAAGTCCAGACACGAAGCAAAATCAAGAAAATCTCAAAAGTAAGTCTCAGTGCACCTGTTTTCTTCTGCCACACAAGCTTTTACCTATTGTGACCTCAGAAAGCACGATCGTATTATTTGTACTGAGGCCTTTGAATTTCTGCCGCTTTCAGTACAGTAAACAATATGAAAATCCCCCAACATTCAGTTCTTGGTGTTTGTGGAAACCCCATGTGACTTTTTGAGCGTGCAGTTGGAAATCTGAAACTGCTGCTCTTGAGCCTGTTGATGATTGACTGTGGAACAGCTGGCTGACCTCCGGTCGAGTGAGTCAGCAGGCAGCATTACCTCCGACTCCGGGCTGCTGACGTCACGCCCCGCTCCGGGTCCCTTATCGGGGACAGCGCTAAATGATTTGGTCAGCCTTGATAAGGCGGGCCCATTATCACATTTGCATTAGCCGACTGCTGTAACCTTTTGTCCCGTTTGTGTGTATTTTTCTTTTCCACAGCCCACGAGGGAGAGAAAACACCTCTTAATCGAACCTCAGTGGAGGAACTCCCCGACTATTTAATGTAAGATTGAATACTTTTCAAATAATTTATGTCATATGTTGAATCAATATTAGAAGTAGGGAAGGCCCATATCAGCCATGGTTGATGTTTTGTCACATAAGAGTTCATGTCATAGTTTAACTGTTGCTGAAGGAAACAACAACGCCCTTTAAGAGTAAGATTCAGCTTTCAGAGCAGAGAAACCGGGGCCAGTAAGACATGTGTCTAAATAAGCTGTCAAAGCTTCACTGAGAGTTTCCATTGAAAAGAATATCTAATGTCCTACATTCATACATCTGGTCAACACATCCTGCTGCTAATTCAGAGACGCGTCAAAGCTTTTATTCACTGATGTGCAGAGCCGCCTACTGGAGGGACCGGGAAACAGCTCAAGCTTTTTCTACTTCTGTTTTTCAACATTAAAAAAAATGCATTTGATTGACGAATGTTTTTCTTTTAAGGAAATACAACCCCATAACGGCACTGGAGCAGCGACAGCAGTATAATGATGACTTCTGCGCCGAATACGATGAATACAGAGCTCTTCATGACCGGATTGGGGCTATCACTGAGATGTTTGTTCAGTTGGGCTCAAAGATCAACACTCTGGCTCCGGGAACACAAGAGCACAAGGTTCTGTCTGTGCTGCTCAGTCGAGTCAAACACCAGCTACAAAATGTCTCACACACACACACACATAAACACAACACTAACACGCTTCGCTTTCTTGTTTCCCCAGATCATGGAGGACCAAATCCTGCAGAAGTATCGAAAGTATAAGAAAGTAAGAATCTTTAGTGCTTTATCCATTCCTAAAACAGATCGTGTTTAAGAGGCAGATCAAAGGGATTCAAGAAAACCCGAAGTTTTAAAGGTCATCATGTGCTCATCCTCAGGAAACACTGGCAATACTCACATTTTGTATTCTTTAGAACTTTTGAACATGTCATTCAAGGAGGTTTTTTTTTAAGTAATGTGACTTCATCATCTTCCATGTTCCTGGTGTGCTATTGATACTTTTTAGTCATAACCTCATTTTTTAAACTTAAACCTTGATATCGAAATCCGTATTAAAATGATAAATCTGCAAGTAGCTTGTGTTATTAAAAGGACGTCTTCATTAGAATTTAAATTCTAATGTGGAAGAAGTGTAAATACAGTATGAAGCATACTTTATTTGAACTATTGAAAGCTTACAGTCCTGTTTGTTTGTTTGTTTCCTTTTTAAAGAAGTTTCCGGGGTATCGGGACGAGAAGAAGCGATGCGAGTATCTCCACAAGAAACTTTCACATATCAAAGGCCTGATAGCGGAATACGACCGAGCTCAGGCTCTCTCTTAGTGACTGGCCCAGGCCCTCGGCAGGGAGCAACACAACCGGACCAAAAGACTCCAAACGGACCCAAAGACTGTTTAGCTGGGTCCAGAAACCGCTGAGACACTACTCACTTTACTCCTCAGTGTTCCTGATATGGAGGAGCAAGGTTCTTTTTCAACAGTGGGCTGAGACCACCTACTCGTGATCAAATGTTACCCTTTAAACCTTTGGTTTTCAGCTCTGCTGGCGGCTGTGATAGCTGGAGTGTGTTATGCTGTAAAACGGTCAGATGAAATGGTGACAGCCAACAGATGTGATCTCTTTGCTTAGCGGCAAAACCTTTCTCTTTTTTTTTTCCTTTTTCTCGTCAGAACGTTAAAGTATTAATTTTACATGAGTGTTGAAGTGATGGTACAATCATTCTTAGGGATATAAAATGCTACTAAAGTCTTTATATTTAAATGCAGAGGATTTTGTTTGTTTGCTTCTTGCTGATAGAAACTTATGACGGAGCACATTCAATCACATCAGTTATTCATTTTTTACAGTAAGAACCTGTCATAATGACCAATGAGATCATATCATTTATCTGTATTTCTAAAGTTTATCCAAACCTGTTGAAACCCTTCACTTTGGTATGATAACCTTGCCATCCACGTGAGCCAGTGTTTTTGTAGAACCAAGGTCTGATCAGATATAGACCTCTAAAGTATCAAGTGACTGGAAATGTGCCACAGAGGCAAAGGCTGGAGCCAGTCGATGGGCTGTTATCATAAGGAATTTCATGTAGCCATTGGATGATGTTCTGTTTCATTTCTAAGAAATGTTGAAATGTCACAAAACAATTCCTCCCTGTTCTCTAACACAGGTTTCAAGGTAATGCTTGAGCGAACTCAGCCTCACTTCACCCCCACCCCCCCAATGTAGCCTACAGTACCACTCACTGCCTTTTTATTTTCTTTTTTTTATACTGGAACACCATTCTCAATTTTATCCTTACTCCAGTCTTTTAGTTACAGGTGTATTACACATAAATCAACCTGCGTTCACGAAACTTGCTGGGTATTTGTCCTGATGATCAACCCAGTTAACACATCCCCCCCCACACACAAAAACTATAATGCGGTTGACGTTTTAATGATGTTTTATGCGGGGCTTGGCTGGAAAACAGTCATTCCCTTCAGTGAGCGACACATTTTGATGTTCCTCGGCTAAATGTGAAGGACACGCCTTTAACCAGCTGGAGTGGGTGTAATTTAAGCCCCACGGGGAAAGTGAAGGGAGGAAGACACTGGGTGGCTCACTCAGCTCAACACACTTTGGTTTAGCTCAGTGGAAGGAGCAGGGTGACCTCAAAGGGTTCCTGGAGGGCTTTCCAGATTCACAGGCTTGTATCAAGACAGGAATTCAAAGAGCCTTTCCATCATTGTAGCAGTACTCACAACTATTGTCTTAATGGTAGTTTGCTAAGAGAATAACACTACTAATTGCCTTGACATGTACTGTATGTCACACATACAAATGTCAGCACAGCTCGAAGTGCTCTCCTTTTTGTTTCTTTATATCATTTCTATAAATGTCTTTTAGTTTAAAGAGAATTTCAGTTACTAGGTAGCAATTGTGCAGCGGTTCTGTGTTCTTGTTTTTTTGCCATGTATGTCTTGATCTGCTCAGTCTCTGTTTTAGCTTCATTTGTGGTCTTATTGTCTGTCAGATAATCATGAACTGTACAGGAATTTGATTCACTGTCCAATTCTACTAAGCACCACTATCAAAAGGCAGAATCCTCGTGGGAATCTGTACAAAGCAAAGCAATGTACTTAGTTCCTTGTGACCTTTCAGTCCAAATACTCAGCCGGAGCATCTTTTAGAATTAAATCAATCTCTATTATAGACTCAGTTATTTAGTATGTTTGAAGGATTTGAGACCAAGTAGAATCACTTTGTCTCAGCACATATGAAAGTGTCCAAGAAAATAATATCAGCGATGATCACTGGAAAATGAGAACTGTGAGCCCAGGAAGTGTTAACCAGATTCCATCATTAAATATGACCGAAGCTCTAAAAAATAAAAAGGCTTATATCTCATGTAGTGCTGCTACCAAGGCTGTGTTGCCATTATTCAATTTGTTGGGTTCCTCTCAGGATCGTCTTTGGTGGATATGCAAATAGTTTAAAGAAAAGTGTATAACATAGAAACCCAGCATCTGACGGTGAGATTACCTGGGAGACTTTTCTGTTTTGGACTTCAATAACGCACAAGGTTCAGTTGTAATATTAGTAATATTTATTATTCATCATTATATTCATTCAAATATTTTCATGGTTCATACTTGAAGGATAAAACAACATTTAGAACACAAGCCCTTAAGGTTACAATTTTAAGACCTATTAAAAGCTAAGGGCTTCTCGTTGATCAGCAGACAAACAAACAGGGGTGATACTTCCTGGGCCAAAATATCAGACGTCACAGTATGACGAGGATAAATAGGCGATTAGTGTAAATGTTTAAAGGAAACCCACAACCTTGATGAAAGTGTCTTTTTCAGCAACTGTCATGGTTTTTTGTGGCATGAACAAACTACTGAATGTGCCTTTTCATTCATAAAACAGTGCTTCATTATGTAAAAGAAAAACTTGGGCCAACAGCATTTGTAAATTGTAGTTTGACACTGTTCCCACTTATTAAAAAGTGCTCTATTTGATTTTTTTCCTGAATACATTTTCTCTGGGATGCCTTGTAAGATACACAAACTGTAATGGCACTGGCCTATTTAATTAGAACTTTTCCAGCTAATGAAAATTTGACATAAAATTAAAGGTTTTCTTGGACATCAATTGAGCACTATTACCTGAAACTTCTAGTGAGGTAAACTGGTTTCATGTTTTTATTTTTCAAAGGTGTATTATATTGCTGGGATGGTACTGGAAAAAAGAGGCATCGTTGGAAATGTGAAATGAGACTCTTTGTCTACAACCCATAACTGCATTTTATCAACTTAGAAGGACGCATTTATTTATTGCTTTGTTCGTTTGTTCTTTTACAGGTTGCATCTTATTCCTTCATTCCACAGCAAAACTCAAAGTATCCTGAAAGGGAAATGGAATATATTTTTGCAATTTTTTGATGGTGGATGCTTTATCATGTCAAACTCTTGAGAAAAGCTTTTAAAACAAAGTGTAATGTCTCGGTGAAATTGAAAATAAAGCCCTTCGATTCAACTATGCAGCTCATGTCCTCCAGAGGGCAGTGTTACTCTGTCCTGAACAACAACACAAAGCCTTACAAAAGATGGGAACTGTGCTACACAAACCAATACCCAAATAGATTAAGCTCATACACCAACTGTTTCCTATGTGCAGGCTATGAAGCAGTTACGTTATTGATCACCTTCGGAGTCCTCATAACTTCCAAAAGCATCTTCATCACAAAACAAGCAGAAAAAGGCTTTGAGAGCCTCCACACAGACTAACACTTCACATTTTTAGTAGAAAGTCATGCCTACCTCAGAACTGAGACCTGCTGTTAGAAATTAGGCGCTGTTAGTTAGAAAACTGCTGGTGTTGTAGAAGTGGAGGCAGGTAAGTTAAAGATGAAAAGCTAAGACTTACGCCTTATAAATTAGCAAAAAACTAATAAAGTTTTCTATAAAATTATCCCTTTTTAAAAAGGTTTTTAGAGAAAAACAGTTTACAGCAAATCAACAATCATTCCGCACACATTTCAGCTTGTGCCTCGTTGCTGTCTTGACTTAAGTGTGCATCGTGGATATCATTTAAGTTTACATTGTAAACTCTCAAAACCCGTCATGAGTGATTTCTGGTGGAACTCCCCCATCCTTTTCATGGTTTGATCTGTAAAGTGGGCTTTGCGAGGGTAACCATGCCAATCAGGGAGGATACCAGCCCACAAAATCCAACCACTCCCGCACTTGACTTGTAGATGCTCAGCTTGTCGAGGGGAATAAAGAGATCACAAATGTTTTTCAGGGTGTCTAGGGCCACGGCTGGGTGGGATTTAAGGGTTTCTAAAAGCAGGAAAACAAAGGCATCCAACTGGGGAAGGATAACTTCAGCTACTTCAGGACACTGATTAAGATTTTGATCCATTTTCTCCCTGAAATGTCTGTCTCTTTTTCTCTCCAGCATCAGCTGAAGAGCGACGTAAGCATCTCGAGTCAGATTCAGTAGTAATGAATAGAAGTAGAAGCGAGAGGCGTTCAGGTTCCAGCGTTCTTTGTCAATGTTGCGGATCAGGCCGACACTCCTGGCCCACAGCACATTGTCACAGATAAAGTAGAGGGCCCGGCTGACGTTGGCCGCAGTGAGGCACAGGCACAGCACCCGGTCAGAGAGCTGCACGGTTCGCTTAGCAGCCTTAATGGAATTAGCTGTGTTTCCCAGCCTGAGCACTGACAAAGAAGGAAGACATAACAGGGTATTAGAGCAAGAATCAATTATTCAAATACGAAAAAGCCACGTCTACATTTCAAGGTAGCCGTTGACAGTAATCAGCAGGACGCAGTTACTCTGCTCCCGCAGGCAGCTACACGCTTATCAAACTGGGTGATCTGCAGGACAGAGGTCAAGGCCTTCTCTCTTTCCGCGTGCTCGGTCTCAGCCGACGTGGCTGAGTCCTCCTATACTGCCTGAACCTTTTGGGAGATAAATGAACCTTCCAGGTCATGCTTTTTTTGTATTTAACATTTAGAGAAGAGTGTCTCAGAATTATCAGGTGAGGCAGACCAGGCAACGGGGCAGCAGAGCCCCTTCAGCTGTATTTCTGATGCAGAGGAAAGATTATGAGGACGTGCATCAAAGATGTGGTATTCAGCGGCCCGGCCTCGACCTTTATGAGGATCCACAACATCAGCATAAAGGAGAAATGGATCTTTATTGCCTGATCCTGCTTTAAAGCACTATCCCCATCCCTCATTTCCAATTCAAGCCTGCCAGAGTCCACCTCTCAAAGCACTCATTTATACCGAAGCCAAAAAGAGTCAAAGTTAGCAAGTGGAAGAATCCTCCACCCTCAGATTTGTTTTGCCACTTTAAAGGTCAAAAGTCATTCTTTGCACGCGAGATGAGCTTTGGTCACAGCACAATGCCGCAAATGGTTTTGTCCTATTTGGTACCCTCCTTTGTGTCAGCATACATCCTCAGGAGGGGAAGTGATTCGTTAATTACTGTGAGACGGCATGAGGATGTGCACGGTGTGAGAAAACATAATGGAACTAATAGCTGTGTAAAATGACTGAACGTGTCAATGCATTCAAAGTTACTGCACAGAGGCCGATGCAAGTTACCGGACCGTGATTCAGTGCGACAACCCTGAGCTTACAAAATCATTCTTTTTAACAGGAAGTGCATTAGGTGGGCCTGAGTTTACAGGTATGATGAGTCATATGGACAGAAAAGGGCCGGAATAAAATCTGATTTATTGGGCGTTTTAGCTGTAATGACTGCAAGTGCACCTTATTTTCTTTAACAAAAAGACACTGCTTTTTGTGGTTTTTCCACTTTTGGTTGTTTGCTTATCCTGGTTGGAAGCTGTGGAGCACGCAGTGTGCCAGAACCAGTTAAAGTGTCAGCAATATTTGTCTGTTTTATTCTGACTTTGGGAGCTTCAGTTTAATGGTGCCGTTTAAGATGGACTACAATATTCACATTTTTTAGTTAAGTGTTGCTCACATTAATCATACTAATCCAACGGCTTTCTACAGTCAATAAAGCTACAGTCTGTGCCGGTTATATAGGTCAGGACATGGTGGAGTGGGTCTCCTACGGAAGAAACAAACAGCTACAAACTTGAACAAAGCAACAAGTTGGCCAAGTCTAAACATACAAGCGATAAGATATTCAAAACTGTACTTAAATTGTAACAAGTTCAACAGAAAAAAGATTCGATATGCAACTCAAAATATTAACAGCGTAGTGTGCTGTCACTTCTCTGTCTTCATGTTTTGGGACAAAGACAAACCCTTTTAAAATAATAAGCTGTATGAGTCTCATAAGTTTTTAAGTAGCAGAAATATTTCTCATGACGGTTTCAAAGTTTCGTAAAACACTACACTATTTGAGCATTCAATAATAAACTAGTAAATAAACTAATAAGTAACTACAAAAAAACTTAAATGCAAAAATTGAGTGAAAGATCTTCTTTTTTTTCTGAGTCATTCTAAAAGACTGAAATGGAATGTATGTAAAGAGTTGCAGGTGAAGACCACACCATCAAATGAAGGGCAGACATGGTGGGAGAATGCTGAGACGGTATTCCCATTACAGTATAACAAAACGAGCAATCATCAGCTGAAACAGCTTATCTACTTTAGCCGATATTGGTCTAACTCCTTTGACATTTCACAGACATACTCACATTTTCGTCCAGCACTCATGTTAGTTTCCAGACTTTTAAGTTTGGCCACAAGGTCCTTTCTTTCCGTGTTGTTTCGGAGTAAATAGATGGAAAGTGCACATGCATATTGGGATGCCCTAAATCACGGAAAGAAGACGAAAGAGACAATTAAATCAAAGTTATTGCTCAAGACATCTGATCACCTGTTGGATCAGTGTTAATCTTCAAATCAAACTTCGATGGCCACTTTCACAAATAAGCCATTAAAGGGTTTAAAAAAACAGGGTAAAACATACCTGAATATACGATCCCTGCCTTGACTTTGGTTTGTGAAGTTTACCAACGCGTCCATGCCTAAAACGTCCAGGAACAGGCTGTTCCTGATAGCGATAGTGCTACCGAGTTCAACCCGGGCGAAGCCGTTCGCGTTTGTTTCTTTTAATTGTTGGTAGAATTAAAGTTCTTTCTGTTATGCTCAAACAGTGTGTGCATTTACTGCTCAGGTAACGATTTTGATCAATGTTTAAAAAAAAACTTTAAACAGATAATCGAAATTTTAAAACTTGTTTCTCATGCCCTTTTTGCATGGTACGTAGCTAGCTCGTCATAACAGAACACCAACACACGTCCTTGTTTAACTACGGACATCTTTGGAAACGGAACAAGAAGCCGACCACATTATGGTGGCGGACTAACGCGTCACGGTGAGTTACTATGGCAACGGTCCCTTTGCAGTCGACATAGTTAGGTTGAAATGAAAGAATTTTCCTGGAATGTTACGGCAAATGATTGTAGTACAATATCTAATATCACTGGTGGATATTATTAATTCTTCAGTTAAAAGGTGAACTATATCGGTTTGTTCACTTTCAGGTTAATTTGCTCAGTATCAGAAAACAGTCTATTCAACGCTTTAAATGTCAACTGAGATAGAATTCCATTCAGTCATTGCTCATATCGCTTGTACCTTGTCGGGTCAATTGTACTGTTGACCAAATACAAATGCACATTATTCCAGGACTGACTTAAGATAAATAAATAAAAATAAAGGCAATTTAAAGAATGTTTGCTATTTTTAAATCTGTGTAGTTTTCACATCAGCAGATCTGCTTGAATCACATACAAAACCTTCACAGTAAAATCAGTATTACAGCCCACTTTATTATACAAAGGAAACTGATATAATTACTAAGTACACAAAAGACTGAATTCATCACATATGTGAGCCAGTGTCTTTCACAGAGAAGATAAGTGAGAGTCATAATCTTTAACACTTCTCTACCATATAATGAGAACGAGACCCTCTAACCTCTCTTAATTATGTAGCCTAAATTAAGGGTTTTTGTCCAGCTTTTATATGGCCTTGAACCCCCCAAATTGCCATTTTCATCTATTTTTGTAACTTGGATAACATGAGAGGACGAGGTGCTTAAAATGTGACGCATTAATATATTAAATTAAAATAAAAATAAACTTAAACTGCAGAGTTTAGAGAGTGAAATGGATGCTGTTTGAGTAGTATCTAATCGGGCCCAGATGTGTTATTGGTCCAGTGTCAAGGGGTCATCAGTTCCATTCAGCACCTTTGAATCCACTTTGCCTGAAAATATCATTGTTATTTCCATGCCTTGGAAATTCATAATACAATGCACGATGCATGAATGAACTTTAATCTATCTATTGTAAATGTGTGTCAGCTGTGAAAGAATGTCCAGAGGAAAAAGGTGCTATGGTTGCTGCTGGTGTTGAAGATCCAGGTGCAGGGACAAAGAAGAAAAGGGTACAATTTTTCACTGCTCAAAACATATGCAAATGGAATTTTCAGTAGCCACAAATCTGCAATGATTTAGTAAAGAACTATATTTGCAATTTATGGTAGAAAAAGCATTTTGTGGCAATGTTCGCAGCAAATAGTTGAGTATCTCTCAAAATGTGTTTTTATCATAGGGATACATGGGTGTAGGATGTATAGGTAAGTCATCAGTAACTGAGCAATCAGATCAGATTTGTTCCCTCTGGTGTGGGCAGAAAATATTAGTAAACTAACCAGAGAAGTTATTTTCTTTTTGTCTCAAAAGGTTGCTTTTCAAAAGCTTTTGCTCATCCAATTAGAATATTTGTTCTTATTAAAAAAAGATGCCTTGGCATAGCTATTGAAATACAACAAATAATGGCAGTATGAAGAAAAAAACGGGTAAACGAGCAAAAAGTCAGACTGGTTTAAACCTGTTTGAAATAATTCCCATGGGAAACAAATTGCTATATTGGTTTCTTTAATATTCCGGCTGGTTTACCCCAGGAAGTAAAGTGGAAATGTGTTTTGGGTAGAAACATTTCTTAGATTGTAAGAAATTATGATTTCCAGTAGGAGCTGGAATGGTTTAGCATTAGAGAATCAGAGAGCATGAAGGAACCTGAAAGGTTGGACATGAGCTGGGTTCAAAGAGGAAATCAACTGATAAATAAATCCCACAAGGACTGTAGAAAAGAATCATAAAACATACCTTATACATTTCATAGCTCCGTATTCCAAAAGGGAAATTTATTGTGTTCTAAAACTACAGGTCCCGGGGAACACTTCATTCTAATAAATAAAAGATGTACCTTTTATCCCAATGTGACAGCACTGAGGTCATTTTCATGCATCCTCATATCAGGTAAATCCAGCAGCTAAAGTTAACATCACAGTAAATCTGATAGTAGCTCTCAGAAACTGCTCAGCAAGGTCTAGCAGAGCTAACTTAAATGAATATGCAAGTCTGAGGACAAAGACACCACTGAAATGCTGTATTTTTATTCCACACCTCAGATTTGACATGGTAAAATGAACAGAGCAGGCAAATAAACTTGTTTTGAATATAAAAAACAAGTCATTACTTAGGAAATAAAAACGACATCAAACAGTACTTTATCTGATACATCTGTTCCCAGCTATTAAATCATTTTGATTTATATTCCATAAACGTCAGTGATGTCCACACAATTGTTCTGTCAATTAAATCATTCACCGTGGGTAAGATTGTGGTGACTATGGAGCATAAACAATCCTCCAGTCCTCCCTCTCTACATGTGACTGGGACAGATGCTGCTAAGGGTTGCTGCAATGTTATGAAAAAAGCATTATTTTTATGACGCAACCATGATATAAGTGATGATTGTAACAGTAATTGTGCCCACTCTATGGCGGCGATTGATTTTCATTTTTTTTTTTTAACCAATTTTATGTTTTGTAAAATGTATGGAGAGGCTGTTACACATGACCGGACTGATGGTGAAGTCAAGTGCACTGTGACCACCACCGTCTCACTTGTTGCTTTATGTGGATGAGTCACAGGTTTCTTATGACACCTACGCATATGTGCATCACTTCATACCTTTCTCTTCAAGATAACTGTTTTCTGGACTGTCTATATCGCTCATTATCAACGCTGAAATATGAATGTGTTCTTGGTGTCAAATTGAAAGAAACCTGTGTTTCAGTTTCTGACATCCTATTCAATGCCAATGTTTTTTTAAAGATTGTTCTCATCAGAGTTCAGTCATCAAGGTGCCTTACCAAAATAATCAATCCCAGACTGATGAACGCTCAAATCAGATGTTAGGGTTGATTATTTTGAGCACTTTTCTAAGCTATTACTGAAGTGTCCAATAATAAGCATTTATCCCATGTGTTGTGTTCCCACAAGTTCATGTTTAGCTGGAACCCAAAAACTTTTGGGGAATTATTTAAAGCAAGAGTGACTGAAAAGCTTAGTTGTTGCTCTGCAAAGTCTCATGCTAATAGGTGTTATTGGACTTTTTTTTAACGAGTGGTCAAGGTCTTCCAGTAGTTTCAGGTTTAACTCAGTTAACCTAGTTTACATTGCCATAAAGATGGCTAAGCCCTGACAGGAGGTTGCCATGACAACTCAAGCTGAAAACTTAAGCTGCTGCCCAGGAGATTAATTTTCAGAGATAAGATATTGAAAACTTAAAAGAGCTGCCAAATGACCAATAGATTTTCTTTAAAAAAAGGCATTTTAAAAACTGAGAGTCAGAGACATGTCCTGGGTTCATCAGTTTATTGTTTTCTATTCTGAGATGTTATTTTGTTTTCTCTTTTGCTTCGGTCTCTCTGGTTTAGTTGTCATGATTTGTCCAGCATTGTACTGTTTTGCACCTCAGGGCCAGCTGTCCATTGCGCTTTCTGAAGAACAGAGGAATCCTAAGAGATCTGCTAAGAAGGTTTTGAAATGCACACCATAATTAGAATTGATGTGGCAGGAATTTGTTTTGTCAGCAAATCATGTCAGCTCCTGTTTGTAACGATAGTCTTAGAGTGTGCAAAATAAATATGAGGAACAAGAAAGTCTGATTATAAGATTTAATTATTTGCAGGGTAAAAGCATGTGAAGTATTGACATCAATGCTTTTCTTTTCGAACGCATTCAACATTTCTTTAGAAAAGAAAATCGGGGTCGCTGCAAGACAAGTGACTTTCTAGTCTTCAGTAACTCTTCTTTCTGTTATGTTTTTCCAAAGGCCATTCTTTTCCATTCTATCAAATTCCACAACTAAATCTGAGCTGCTTCTGTATTCAGGCAGCCTGGTGTATACAAACATAATACAGAAAAAGGGGCAATCAGGAATGAGGAGAAAGCCCTTTATTCTGGACATCTTAGGTTTGAAAAGCTTTTTGAGCTATCGTTATATTCCACACATACACCATGTTGAGGCTATTTCTGGAAACCAGAAAATGCAGGATTTGGGCTCAGTCAGGAATTAATAAGGCTGTCAGCGCATGCTGTTGCTGAGCACTGCACAATGCATTTAAAAGAATGCAACTGGTGACTACTAGGAATTTTCAAATAGAGATACGTGTAAAGGTAATGGTTGTATATTAATAGTGCACTAATGTGGCTCAGATATAAATGTATCATTTTTGAAGAGTGATGGTCTGTCTATTTTGAAATAGATTCATTGATACATTTGTCTGGTGCTAATGCTGGAAAAAATTGAAAAAAAGAATACTAGCCAAATAATCTGAAGAAACAAATAATCTGAATTATCATATATATTGTCTTTGAAATTATACAATATTATTTGAAAAATACACCAAAGATTGTATTCATTGCTCACGTCAATGATCCCCTAAATCTGTTCAAATTGCCTCCACAATCTTAAACAAACAAAGAAGACCACACAAATAGCAGGCTGCTGTATTTAGCTGGACATCAGCTGGCTGCTCCTGCAGGAAAAATAACAAAAATCTCAGACAGATGCAGAGCATTTAAAGGCTGAAACCAGAAAGAACGGATTGTTTTTCGGCAGCACATGATACGTTCTGCAACCCATCCATCCATCCATTTTCGT